CATGATTCTATCTTATGAATAAACAATGGCAACTCGCTTAACTAGGAAATGTTAAGAGGGACTTTGAATTACGTTATTCCCTTTGGTCCAGAGAGAAGTGAGTGGAGATCTGCTCACTTTCAAACCCTGCCTTGGGGAAAAGGAAAACAATCAGTCTGGAGGCATCTCAGATAAAGCAAACAAAAGACATTTCCTAATAGTGCCTGGCTTTGCAGTTTTCATATCATGTGGAGATACATCTCCATCTCTCTATCTCTCTCTACCTCCTTTGGAAAGCAGAAAAAGGAAAATGGAAAGGCGGCGAATGGTGAAATAATGAGGGAGGAAGGGAAGAGGAAGAAGCTCTTACAGACTCAGAGAGAAAGATTTGGTCATTCAAGTTAGCTGGCCTGGATGGTGGGAAGCAGAGAACAACGGATCGGATTGTGCTTCCCTCTTAACACACTCAGGGAAAGGACAGGCGCCAGAAAAACAGATTGGGTCTGTAGGTGAAAGTGAGCTGAGTGGGCAGGGACGGATCCAGCCCATTTGCCTGAAATCTAGGATGTCTTTGAAGGGGGTCAAATCCCTCCATGGGAATAGTGAACCCCTTTTTGAATGCTGCAGGGACCTCAAGAACTCTCCTATCAGTAGTAATGGCGTGTCCTTTACAGTACAATGTCTAAGACTGGGACTTCTGATGGGTTGCATTTCTTCCCTCCTACCCTCAATTTCTTCTGGAGGAAGGAGAAGTTGGAAGTCTGGCAACACCTGGAAGGGGGGGGCTCCCCAACATGTCTCGTTCCCTCCCTGCAGGTATGAAAAGAACCTCACCTGCTAAGGCAGCACCTCTGCAGCGCCCACAGTACAGTTGAGCGGAGGAAACTGAGCCCCAGCCTCTCAGAAAGCTTCATAAAGATCAGACCAAAAGGCCCTTCTGAAGGTGCCATCCCTGGAAAAGGTGGGAGGGGATTGGCTTGGTCGAAATAGGGCCTTCTTGGCTGTTGCCGCCCCCAACTTTGCAACGCCCTCGCTATAGAGATCCAACACTTTTCGGCGCCAGGCAAAGACCTTTCTGCGTAGCCAGCATTTTAATTAAACAGCATTATTTAGCTGGCCATATGAGCAGGAGGACTTATTGATATTAATGTTTTAATAGTTGTTCTTAATATAGGATATTTTTATACTATTGTCTATTTTAATGTTTTATAATATTGTCTATTTTAATGTTTTTAAAGTTTTAATGTTGCATGCCGCCCGCTGGTAATGGTGCAGCTAAAAAAAATATTGTAAATAAATAAATAAAGGACTCCTTCCACAAGAAACGTCTCGGGACTCCTCCCTCCCTGAAGGTTTTCAAGGAACACCGCCTCCCTAAATGCTCCCCCCTCCTCTTACGAGCCCCCCAAAATACAATAATCTCACACACACACACACACACCACATCCCCTCCAAAGCCTTCCACGACCTTCCCTCCTTCTCTCCCGCCCACAAAAGGCTCACCGCCTTCCAGGTCCTCCAGAGGCAGGAAACGCCCATATAGACCGCCTTCCAGCCCGTTCACCGTTGAACCGTAGAGACAAAGAAGGGGGAAAAGCACGCTCCCTGCTTCCGCTTCCGGCGAGGAGACGGTCTACCCCTTTCCTCCCTCTCTGTTCCCAATCGGTCCTCCAAGGCATACCTTTCCAGGTGCAGTGGGAGGGGCGGGGCTTCCAAACACAAGGGGGGGGAGAGTTTCCGGGATGCAGGGGGTTGTTGTTATGGTCATGGGGCGGCACAATCTGGGTGAGGTCCAGATTGGTGGGTGCACGCCTGCACACAAACACAGACACACACACAGAGAACTGGTGGATTGCGGGTGTGTGTGTCCTTTCTCACGTTTCTGCCCCTCAAGGCTTAGTTCCTTAAAACGCCAGAGAGAAACCAAACTGTGCCCTCAGGGGTGCAAGAGAGGGGGGGCGGCAACCGATGGCTGGCTTCCCTGCCAAGGGCTTCCTTTCCACAAAGGCGACCAGCCAGGAAAGGGAGGTGGCCAGAGTGGCAGAAGGACGGCCTCTGCCTCTGATTTCTGCCTGGGAGATCCTCACTTCTCCTGATAAGGAACCTGGAGGTCTGGGAGATGCCTGGAAGCACCTTCTGATCCTCTCACATCCTCACAAAAGGCTCCCCCCCTCCAAAAGTCCGAGTCTCCCCCTCCCCTGCATCAGCCTTTAAAAAGCGCTTCCTGGATCTCCATCCTCTCCAAAGCAAGACATGATGGGACCTGGGGAGGGTGGGTGGATTGCGGGTGTGTGTGTCCTTTCTCACGTTTCTGCCCCTCAAGGCTTAGTTCCTTAAAACGCCAGAGAGAAACCAAACTGTGCCCTCAGGGGTGCAAGAGAGGGGGGGCGGCAACCGATGGCTGGCTTCCCTGCCAAGGGCTTCCTTTCCACAAAGGCGACCAGCCAGGAAAGGGAGGTGGCCAGAGTGGCAGAAGGACGGCCTCTGCCTCTGATTTCTGCCTGGGAGATCCTCACTTCTCCTGATAAGGAACCTGGAGGTCTGGGAGATGCCTGG